TGCATAACTACACATCCATAACTTCATAACTATCATTCAAAATGTGAAATTATAAAATTATGAATATATGTTTACGTAACTAACGACAATCAAAAATGATTTTTTTTTAAAAGTAAAACGATGCCGTTTTTGCATGGTGCACACATTTGCACAACATAATTTGCCGAGATTGAGGTAGAAATCAATAAAGGCCACGGCCGGATTAGCCCAATGTGGCGTATGGCCCATACACGAAACGACGTCGTTGACGTTGAAGCAGTTGTTCCATAAAGTTCTCTTTCATCATTTCATGCAAAGTGGGTTTTTGGCGGGGGGAGCGAAGAAAATGAAAGCGCGGGAAAATGCTCGGCGTCAGCCACTGCGGAGACGGACCCGGAAAGCCGAAATCAACGATCCGGTACCGGAACCGGAACCGGAACCCCATGAGGGCCCGGATATGGAGGTGGAGAAAGCAAGGCTGATAAGCTTAGCTCTTGAGTTCGGATTCGATGAAGACTCCGCCAGAAAGTGTTTGGATGGCCTAATTCAACTCTACGGTAAACCCTAGAGTGTATAGCTTTAATAGAATTTAAACCTCCTTGCTTTTCAAAGAAATTATCTGTATTATTATTATTATTATTATTTTTTTTTCAATTTGAGAAGGGTTTAAGTATATAAAACTCTGTTTGTGAAGGTGAGGATGGAAAGGAATTCATAACCGTGGAACACTTCGGGGACGATTTTCTTACGGCGTTGGCCGATTCACTTGAGGACACGGAGGATTGGGAGCAAGCCGTTGAATTGGAGGCTTGTGGGACTTTGGCCGAAATATTGGATAAGAATTATGAAGCTGAAAATGATGGAAATACGCCTAGCTACATTTTAGAGGATTCACCAGAGGGTAAAGGGAGAATGAATCCGGTTCTGTTGGATTCTTCCAGTGACAGTGAAGATATGGATTTTGGAAAACCTAGCAAGAGCAATACCCCACTTACTCCTGCATTTGGCATGAATACCCGGCCTTCATCCTCTGCATTTGGCCGTGATAGGAGTGATGAAGGTGTCACTTCAAGTTCACATAGACATCCTCCACGATCTACGGTAGTAGCTTTTTTTACTTGCTGTTTGTAAAAAATCCAATATTGACCTTTATAATATGGTTACCTGCATTCTTGTTGTGATAATACTGCACTTGATTCAGTTGATTGTTTATACTTGGGGTATTACTCATCTTGAACTCAATGTCATCCACAAGTTGTGCTAGACATGACTTTGTAGATCATCTATCTATCCACCTGTTAGGTCTTAAATAAACTGTTTCATGCATACTGAAGCATTCCTCCTCTTTTGTGCCTGTTTTGGAAGGAATGTGCAAGCACGGTGACTCAAGGTTCAGTTTCACCTCTATCCAGTAAAATGAGGCCCTCCAGGGCTTCAAAGAGTGAAGATGCAACTCTAACATATGAAGAGCTGCAGCGGTTGGATGACATTGAGTTGGCAAATGTGGTGGTATTTGGAAACCAAAGTTTCAGACCTTTGCAACATCAAGCTTGTCAAGCTTCTCTGCAAAAGCGTGATTGCTTTGTTCTTATGCCAACTGGAGGTGGTAAAAGTCTGTGCTACCAGGTATCATTTCTTTATTGTACAGTTGATTTTATTTTATTTGTTTGTCATGATTTTTAAATTAGCAGATCAACTGGGAATAAAAGTATCATCTGCCTTGATGTTTTTTTTTTTTTTTTTTTTTTTTTTTTTTTTTTTTTTTTTTAACTCTAGCCCTCAAAAGTTGCAAATGCATGCTATTTAAACTTTCCAAATGTTGTTATATCAAACAATAATATCATTGAACAGTCTACAATTAGAACAGAATTGTTGAGTCTTTAATGTACCATTTTTGTCGAAGTATTGTTTGGTGTTAGTATCAGTTGAGTCTTATGGTTTTCTTTTTCCTACTGTGCAGCTTCCTGCAATTCTGCAACCTGGTGTTACAGTTGTAGTGTCACCACTACTGTCTCTCATTCAAGACCAGATAATCACATTAACTCAAAAGTTTGGAATACCAGCGACCTTTTTGAATTCTCAGCAAAGTTCTTCACAATCGGCTGCTGTATTGCAAGAATTAAGGCAAGGTTTAGATACTCCTTTCCCCCTCCCCAAACCTGCCTTAACTAATTTCGAGATGCTTCAAATTTCCTTTAAAATTGAATGCCATGTTTCTGAGGTTTCCATGTAATTAGTTATGTTAAAATTAAGAAACTTATTTGTGGAGACTTAAAGCAAGGGCAGAATATGGGAGTACCAGACTGTTATGGTAGAGAAAAACAAGCTGACAGAAATGTTTGGCCAAGAGGCTGGTTTGAAATGAAAATGCACTATGTTTTAAAATTTATGTGATCTTCAGTTCCACTGTTTCTACTTTTTTATTTATTTTATTGCAATTTCCACTAGAAACTTGGGAAATGATTTTCGTAAAAAAAAAAAAAAAAAAAAAGAATGAAGACAAAGGAGAGAAAAAAAAAAAAGGAGGAAAGAACTGTACACATTATCAGTATTGCTAAGTGGATAATCAATTACTCCATATTTTTCTGCACAAAATTTCCACACAACTCATTTCCTTTCCTAGAACTATTTCTACCTTATCTCAGAGACTGAGAGTAAGTGAGTACACTCAGAGCTAATATTAGTGGGCTATCAGCCCAAACTTCTCAACAAGTAACTCCATTTTTTCTTCTTTCTTGTCACATTGGTTCACCTTGTGAATCGTCTTTCAGATGCCTATGTAGCCAGTAAGTGTGAAGAAATATTGTTGAAGTACTCACCTCATGACACTTCTATAATTTTTTTCACTACTTTTTAGGTATAAAACTCACTTTGAACTTTCTATAAATGTTTGGGTGCAGCTCCCTGGTGTGGCATTGTAGTTAACATTGCTTCTTATAAAGTGTCTTTCCATAGTTCTTTCAAGTCTTGATATTAATTGGACAGAATATAAGCTGTTTAACTTTTAACTCTGATTTTTTAATTAAAAAAAAAATCCAGGAAGGATAAACCCTCATGTAAACTCCTGTATGTAACTCCTGAGAGGATAGCAGGAAACCTACCATTTCAAGAGGTGCTAAATTCTCTCTATAGAAAGGTAATTGCTAAATTCATTGTCCATTGATGAATGCGAAATTTGAATTTGATACTCTTGTCAAATCCAGAACCCACGATGATGTTTTCATCATTTTTTTAAAATAATTTTTTTATTGTACACAAATTACAGGGGCAATTAGCTGGGTTTGTTGTTGATGAAGCCCATTGTGTAAGGTATTGCCCCCTTGTAGTTTATTCTACTAAATATATATATATATATATATATATATATATATATATATATATATATTATAGTGGCTTATATAATTCAAGTTGAATGAAATGAGTGATAAATCATTTGAATGCACTTGGTATTGAGGAAACCGAGAAACTAAAACAATACTTTTCAACACTTCTGTAAAAATCTTGTAGTGGGCATATATAATTCAACCGAAATGAGATGAGGGACAATTTATTAGAATGCTCTTGGTACTGAGAAAATCAAGAAACTAGAACGATACTTTGCTATGTGCAGTTGTGCACAAGTGCAGCAGGCTGATATTTTTGTTTTAAATCATGTGAGCATATATGAGTTTCTGTATATTAATTGAAAAACTGTTTTCAATTTCACTCAAATACTATTTCATCTTTTCTGTTCATATGAATGCTTTTCTCTATTCAATTGTTTGGATAGTCTTGTATTTCATCCCAGGTTTCAATTTCACTATAACCTCACAATTCCCAAAAATCTAATACTTGAAGAACTATAGTAAGAATATCTTCAGGAAGTAAACAGGCATTGACTACTCTCATTAGCTTTATTGGACCGGTTTGATCAACCCTTGTTTTCTTTGCTCTGTTTTTCAGCCAATGGGGACATGATTTCCGGCCAGATTATAGAGTTTTAGGTTGCCTCAAGCGAAACTTCCCACGTGTTCCAGTGATGGCATTAACTGCTACAGCAACCCGCACAGTGCGTGATGTAAGGACACAAATTCGTTATGAATTTTATTGATGACAGGATCTCTTGAACTTTTACTGATGATTAATTTCTGCAGGATGTCTTGAGTGCCTTAAATATTCCCCATGCTCTTGTCCTTGAGACAAGTTTTGATAGATCAAATTTAAAATATGAGGTGATTGCGAAGAGTAAGGAGCCACTCAAGCAGCTTGGAGAACTATTGGTCAAAAGATTCAAGAATCTTTCTGGAATTGTTTACTGTCTTTCAAAAAGTGAGTGTGTGGATGTCTCAAAATTTTTGAATGACAAATATAAGATTAAAACAGCATATTATCATGCTGGACTGTCAGCACGTCAGAGGGTTACAGCTCAAAGGAAGTGGCACTCTGGAGAAATTGATGTTGTGTGTGCCACTATTGCTTTTGGGATGGGAATAGATAAACCTGATGTTGTGAGTCCCTCCATTCTGATTCTCTACTTACTATAATATTCTGTCTTGTTACATGCACGCATAAGATTCTAACAGCAACTAAAATGAAACTAGATTTTAGTGTTTTCTAGTACCTATAATGTTCTGATAGTAAGATAGTAAGATGTTATTTTCTTCTGATATGCGACATAATAGTTCAATTTTATATATTCCAGCGGTTCGTTGTTCACAATACATTGTCCAAATCAATAGAAAGTTATTATCAGGAAGCAGGAAGGGCTGGGAGAGATAACCTCCCTGCCACATGTGTTGTTTTATATCAGAAGAAGGATTTCAGTCGAGTGGTGTGCATGTTAAGAAGTGGACAAGGATACAAAAAGGAAAGCTTGAAGTTGGCCATGGAGCAAGCTCGGAAAATGCAGAAGTACTGTGAACTAAAGGTGCCTTTATCCTATTCCTCTCATAAATAAACTAATCTCGTTTACATTCGAGGTTTTCATCTTTTCTTTTTTTGGTCTCTGAAAGCGCACACTTTTCTCATACTGAGCTTTCTGACTCGTGTACAACCTTGCAGGATGAATGCCGTAGATGTGCATTGGTCGGACACTTTGGAGAGTTGATTAACCGTAGTTCCTGCAGAAATGGTCCTAGTCCTTGTGATAACTGTCTCAAGTTTTCCTCTTGAAGTTTTATGGATTCCTGCCTTTGGGAATATTTGGCCAAGAATGGAGTTTTGCCAGAAGAGTCAAGTTATCCAAATTTGGAGTGTGGTAATGTGCATTGTTAATTTTGTCACTTAAGCATTAATATTCCTCCTGCTTGTTCTCTGACTGGACTCATCATACGGTTTTTAAAGAGAATTTTAGAATAATAATCGCAGTTTTATCAGTTGCCAGTAATGTTTACTTTATTCCAGCAATATTATTATCGGTAACATGTAAAAAGTTCTAGATGAAAAGAAATTTATGATTTATGGCTCTAAATATCACTTATTAAAGATCATGGTGCGGCATGAATAATCATGAAAGATTCATGGTGCGGGATGACACTTTAGTCAATTTAAAATTAATTAAGGTATATACGACATTTATTTAAACAACTGGCTTCTATTAAGTGACGTAGTATAACACAATATATTAGACGGCGGTTATTTAAAAAATCGATGTTTGTTAAGTGACGTAGTATACAATTTATGTAGTAGTGATTAGGGACGAAATTTGCAATTTTAATATAATTCAGAGACGAAAAGTGCAACGTCAATGATAACTTAGGGACAAAAAGTGAATATGATCAACACTTAGGGAAGAATTTTACAATTACCTTATAACTCAAGGACGAAAAATGCAATGCCAATGATAACTTAGTTACTTAGGGATGAAAAGTGAACATCACCAACACTTAGAGACGAATTCTACAATTACCATATAACTTAGGGACGAAAAGTGCAATTTTTCCCTACAAAGTATTTAAAATTAAAAACATCTTTGTAAACTACAAAAAAATCTATATTCTCATTTATCAGTAACTCTGGTTACACCGAAATTAATTAATCTATATATTAATTGCACAAGTTGGTATTAATAGATTCCTCATGGTTTTTCAAAGTGGAACAAAGGGTACGGCAGTTACGAAAAGCTCCGCATTTGCTGCTTCGCCTCTGGGATTTGCGTAACAGATGACGGCTCCGCCGGGGGCCGTCGCGCCCCCTCTTCGATCCTTTGCAGACATTTTTTCGACCGCTGCTGCACCCTCCCCGCTCCGTCCCCCTGAGAGATTCAAAGGGATCCCGGCAGTGTCCTTCTCGGACGACAATGTAAACCTCTTTGCGCAGAAGTTCCGCTTTGCTCTCGTTGGAAAATTTGCGACAAATCGACCGCCAATAGCCGACATTAGAAAGACATTCGATCAAATAGGGTTCGGTGGGGCATTCTCACTGGGACTTCTAGATCAACGACACATCCTGATGAATTTTAATCATGAAGCTGACTTTCAGAGATGCTGGCTTAGAAAGACATGGTCCATTAAAGGAGCCCTTATGCGTGTGTTCCGATGGTCACATGATTTTCGACCTGATATTGAGTCGCCCATAGTGCCGGTGTGGATCGCCTTTGAAGGTCTGCCGGCTCATTTACAGGATAAACGAGCGATCTACTCCATTGCAAATCTCATCGGCTCTCCGCTGAAGGTAGACAGCTCGACCCTTTCCCACAATCGGCCTTCCGTCGCCCGAGTTTGCGTTGAGCTGGATGTCAGCGCTGCCCTAACGGATCAAATCTGGATAAACAATGGATCATTTGGCGGATTTACCCAGAAAGTGACATATGAGTTCATTCCACCATACTGCATGGGATGCCGGAAGTTTGGTCATCAAAAGATAGAATGTACAGTGCAAGCAGATAAACTTCAGGATTTAAGAAGAGAGGCTACAACAGATCAGATACAACACCCTCCTCGACAATCGATCATAGTACCCCCCCCCCCCCCCCCCCCCCCGGGAAAAGATGGCGTCAAATACCCAACCTTGAAATTGTTCCTGAAGAGGACCAAAACAAAGATCACCAGCCGGAATCGGAGAACTCGGCATCTCCTTTGATTGTGCCAGAGACGAATGCATCCCTAGGTGTAACTTTAATTGATGATCAAGGAGTCCAACGCGCCCAATCTGACTCCCAGCCAGGACATTTGTCGGAAGGGGATGATCTTCAAAATGCTCAGGCTTACACCCCTACGCTGTTAGACTCTTGGAAGGATGCCAGTAAACTCTTTGCCCTCAAGCTGGGAGGAACAAAGCAGGATAATTTTGTTACAGTAACCAAGAAAAAAAACCGACCTAGAAAGGACTACTCCGCCCAAGTCCCGGCAGTTACGACTCGCCTAGCGGTTGGAAAAATCGCTAGAGTTTCGTTCTCCCACCGTCTAAAATGATTATGCTTACCTGAAATGTCAGGGGTCTACTATCCTCACGGCGTAGACTCAAAAGGCTTCTTCGACGTGAGCACATTGGTTTTGCTTCAATAATCGAGCCTATGCTAGCTCGGGATAGACTTCTACAGATGGCTATGGAATTCGGCTTCTCGGATGGCTTTGCCTCCGAAGCGTAAAAAATTTGGTTATTTTGGAATGCAGACTATGAGGTGGAAGTGTTGATTGATTCAGAGCAGTTTATCTTCTGTAATGTTAAATTTGTTCCTTGGCAACTGACCTTCAACTTTGCGGGAGTCTACGGTAAACACACAAGAGCGGAGAGGTCGTAATTATGGGCACAACTCACGACTATTTTAGAGGGACCTATACCAGTTCTCTTGGGGGGTGATTTCAATGTCATCTCATCTATATCTGAGTACAGAGGCGATGCAATACCAGCCACTAGCAACATTGCAGATTTTTCGCGATTTATTCTTGACAACAATTTAATTGACCTGCCTGTACTTGGCAATCAGTATACCTGGCACGGGACTCGACATACGGGACCGGTATGGAAAAGATTGGACAGATATCTCATGAACGCGGCATGTTGGGATTTGTTCACAGAGGTGCGAATCTCTGTTCTTGCGCGGTCTACTTCAGATCATGCGCCCATCTTGCTAACAGGAATAAATGGAACTTTGTCTAGTCCTAAGCAGTTCCGGTTTCAACGAATGTGGTTCTCGCACCCTGGGTTCATGGATATGGTTCGTCAGAGTTGGGCCTTGCCAGCGGGAGGTGGGGGTATGCGTGAGCTGGCATTCAAATTAAAGCGTCTTAAAGCAACTCTGAAAGTCTGGAATAGGGATACCTTTGGCAATGTCTTTGACCGTATAAAAGATCTGGAGTCACGAGTTACTGATGCAGAAGTTTCTCCCTCGGATAATCCATCAGGGGAAAACCAGTCTACTTTGCAAGTTGATCTTCTTCTTGCCCTTAAGCAAGAAGAGTGCTTCTGGAAGCAAAAGGCCCGGATCAAATGGCTTAAGGAAGGAGATGCCAATACGCATTACTTCCACTCTATCGTGAAAGAGAGACACCGGCGACAGCGGATCTCGGCCGTAAAAAATGCGGAGGGCAGAATTTTAACAACGCAGGCTGAAATTAAAGAGGAGGCAGTCAGTTTCTATTCGGGGCTCTTTTCTGCTGAAGACTGCCCTAATATGAATGGCCTTCTTGCTCATTTGACTCAAACCTTGAGCCCTCATGATTCTTCTGCTCTTCTAACGCCTCTCACGCGTGAGGAGGTGAAGGGCGCGGTTTGGAAGCTCGACCCACACAGTGCGGCAGGGCTTGATGGGTACTCTGGAGCTTTTTTCCATCATTGCTGGGACGTGGTTGAAGATGATGTCTTTAGTGCGGTTCATGATTTTATGGTGGGGGTCCCGGTACCACAGGCTATGGCGAGTGCACAAATTGTGCTAATCCCGAAAAACTCCAACCCAGATTCCTTTGCAGCTTATCGGCCTATTTGTTTATGCACCTTTATTAGTAAAGTGTTTACGAGAGTTCTTGCCTCCATGTTGAACCCGATGCTGCCAAAGTTGATTTCCAGGGAACAAGCAAGCTTTGTGGCGGGGCGAAGCATCCATGATAACATTCTCCTTGCTTTCGAGCTGCTTCAGTTTCTAGATAAAAACTGCCGGGGCTCTAATGTCGTCATTGTAACACCCCACTTTTCTAACTCTTAATTACAACTCTAAACAGTCATTTACATCACTAAGCAACGGAAATAAAATACTAAAAAGATAACTAGTGGGAGTGTCACCGCCACAACCACCACCCCGTGGTGATTGCACAGGCTAAGGGGTAAAACTATAAATAAGATAAAAATCGAGCATCCAAATAAATACTGGAAACATAAGGGGGGAAAACGTCACCCCAATAGTCTACATCATCCTCAAAAACATAGAGTCAAAATAAGTCTAAAATCCATAACATGATCATCAATAAGACTAGGGTTTAGACATCTCAAACTAAGAAACTAATCTAACTCGATCTCTTCTCATTGCTGGGCCCACCTGAAAGTGGTTTTGCAAGCAACACATAGACAAATAGGAAACACCCGTTAGCACGAAACTAAGTATAACCATACTCAACCCTGTAAAGCATTCTAGCATATATTTTGAAAACATTGATTTCTTTATAAGCAATAAACTCATCTCAAATCATCTTTAGGTCTATCACATACTTTCTAGATGCTTGCACCCTATTATATCAGCTGGCATGCTCATATATATATATATATATATATATATATATATATATATATATATATATATATATATATATATATATATATATATAAAAGACTGTTCACTTAAATTCTTCAGCATATAAACTTCTCAAGTAACTTAAAAAGCAAATCATGCTTACAGATAGGATCATGCTAATAAACCATATAACAGGTATTCTCATGCTTTCATATTCTCATCTCATAATTCGATAAACAAGACTTCTAATACAACAACACGATTATAAATCAACATTCTCATTATGTACTCTCATGTGATACTTTACTCAGATACAATCTTGTGCAATGCTATAATCATACTCATATGCAATATCGTGCAACTATATACTCAATTACTCATACTCATATG